GGCGATGGGCTTCTATACCTCCTTTTTCCACCGTACAACCGAGCCGCGCTGGGGCCATGCCCCACTACCCCGATTCTTTTTTTTCCCACTGCAGAAGCCGAGCTCTGCCGCTGACACCGCACAGCGAGTCGAATCGCACGTAGCCAGTGCTTTTGGCGAAAATAATTAACTCTGGCCCTGCTTGCGCCCCCCACCCCCCCCCCCCCCCCCCACCGGGATCGCCGCGGTGGCGAGATGTTAACTACCTCGCCTGGTATACAGGAGGTCTTGGGTTCCATCCCAGCCCTGATGCCTGCTGTGTATTTGGAGTTTGCATGCTCTCCCCGTGGTCGCGTGGGTTTTTCTCCGGGTCCTCCCTCTGCGTTTAGAACCGGCGTCACGCGTTTAGGGTATTGGGCTGCTGTAAATTTCCACAAGCCACTTGATTGGGCTATCATCTGTGGCCAGGTCGCTTCTGAAAAAAGAGCTTGTATAGCTCAGTGGGCCTTACCTGGTAAAATATAATAGTTTGTTTCCTGCTCAGCTGGACTAATAGCCAGTGTAAAACCACGCCTGCAGTGAAGAACCCCGCAAGGGCACGGCGCGATTGTGCCAGTAAACAAGGGGTATTGGCAAATTGCTTTCATTGTATCTGTTTCCATGGCCGTAGGCTCAACGTCCATTGATTCCATTGGATCAACATGTTTCCATAGAAACAAGCTCCACTTGAACTGCTTCAATTGGACCTGTTGCCACGAGAACGGTCTCCATGCCAACTGCTTCCAATGGACTTGTTTCCATGTGAACGCGTTTCCATGGGAACAGACTCTGTAAACTGGTCCCACTCTGGAGCTGTGTCTGTGGGCACAAGTCAACAGTGTTCATGGGCACGGTCGCGTTGGTGGATCTTTATTGTTTTACATCAGAACAAGACTCCGCGTGAACCGGTTCTATTCGGCCCGCCCGCACGAGAACAGCGACGAGCGTGAACGGCTTCCGTGGCAACATCGATACGCGTCAACTGGTTCCCGTTGGACCTCATTTCCATGGCGATGGCTCTCTGGGGTAGGGGGGGGACCCAATTTTGGCAGGAGAAAAAAGACCCCCGGCTCCACGGGGAGGCGCGGCGAGGGGGCTGCTGCGTCGTTCATCCCGTGTACACGTTCTCTGTTACCGACAGTGTCATGTATATTTCAATGTACACAACCCTTAGGCATGTTTGCGCCTGTGCGTTCTTCAGTTTTATTTCCATGCTGTGTAATATGCTGTTATTTCTTGCTTTCTCGCGGAGCCATGAACTACCAACAATTAAATAAACATCTTTTGTTGTCGGTAGCCGTGTTGTCTGTCCCGGGCCCCCCAATTTGGGGGGCTGCCTCTCGCAAATCTTACACCTTTGCCTGGTTTTACCCCGACTTAATATTTTTTTTTCTCATGGGGGGCCAGCTGTCATCGGTGGGGGGTGCCCTCGGCCCATAATAAAACAACTCC